TTCCTCAGCCAGGTGAGCTAGTGAACTCACAGGAGGATTTTCTCCTCAGCTGCGCTGGTATCTAGCAAAGGGTAAGAGTATCTCTGGAGCCCACCTTCCTTTCAGACCACGCCTGCACGTGACGTCTGCCTCCAGGGGAGACAGAAGCAGCCTCCACCCACGCCTGCACGGACACATCGAAATACACGTTAAGCCACATTCACCTACGCGAAGAGAGATGAAATATCATCACGAGAGATGAGCAAGAGCGAAAATCCAGATCTGGTTACCAAGATTAGCAGGAAATGCATGGCAACAAAAAACTGCATCTTCTTGTGACTGTGATGGTATCCAGTGCGGTGCTGAGGAAAGGCTGGCTCACCGGCGCACGCTGCACCCGGGATAATCTGCTTTTCAGGTTACCTTCCACGCTCCGTCTGGTTCTGGTCCAGGGCCGCTGCGTCCCATTATGGAACCTTCCCATGTGCAGCTCCCCCTACCACGCACTCTGCGGGTTTATACACAGCCATGGGGCGTGGGGCTCTATCTCTGTTTATCCTTTATACCCATCCCATCAGCCGTTCGTCACCCCTCGGCCCCCGCACACTCTGCAGATCATTGCCTGTCTGTCTCAAGAAACCAGGCAAAGAATCGGTAAGGCATCACCATCACCGCTTACACCCCAGCCGGGGGGCCATCCACTCCATCGTTTATTGCAGGAAAATCTCCTTTCACCTTTCTCTGCCCAGCATGGACTCTGTATGACCGAGCAAGGGAGGAGAAGAGGAAGCACCCGATCCTTGCACGGAAAGGAGTGCCTGGAAATCGCTAGGGTTGTGGAGTCAGGGCAGGATGACACAACATCCATCGACCGGCTCCACCCAGTTACCAGCCACAGAGTCTCCTCAAAGGAGGATTTACTCCAGGACAAGTGGTTGTGGCTAATGCTTGACAATGGGCTCACTGGTCCTCCTCCCAGGTAGATGACCACCCTGGGAAATGTGGGCTAGAACGGAAGGGAGGAACCCCTTTGAGAGGGACGGAGCGTGCAAGTCACTCAGCTTTTCCCTGGAAAAAGATTTGAGTCAACCCGAGTTGTGTTTTCCAGCTCAGGCTGGATGCCACTTCCCCTTCAGCCAAATTACAGATGCTCTCTACCCACTGGGAACGCCACGGAAGCCTATTTAACGTATCTGGTGAAGCGCGGGATGTTTCAAGCTCTGCGCCTTTGCCATGGAAGCAAAAGCAGGCCACGTCAAGCCTGAGGCCACCATCCTGCTGAGCTCACGCGTGGGCTCTGCTGTCACCCACACCTCCTTATCTGCTCCTGCCTGCTTCGCCGTTGTGCAACGCTGGTCCTTCTGGGAACGACGCACTGAGTGTATGAGCAGGAGCCTTGCAAAAGGCTCTCCTGGGTGGTCATGCACACACTGCTTTACGCACGCGGGGCCAATGCTCCCCGCTCCTTCAGGGGCCCAACCAGCACTCAGAGGTGTCAAGAGACTGGGTGTCTCATTCTGCTGCAAGCCAAGACCTTTTTCACATCTGCGATGTGTATCTTTATCAGCCCGTAACGGTCTCATCATTGCACCAGCTGGTTTATCTACTATTTCAGTTACAGAACCACCTCATGATGTGTGAGAAGAATCTGGACTATGAGTATGCAACACTAACAGAATTACCTTATCAACGAGTTAATAACCAAAACCCAACCAAACCCAGGTGACTTGATTCTCTAACATGGAAGTACCCGACAGGAAGTCGCCTCCTGCAAGACCTTTGATTCAGGCGGTTGTTAAAGGCAGAATGCCAAGTGAGTGGCACTGGCACTGAACTGAGCTTAAGGGCAAGCGGTGCGCACCTACTGACACCCCGCTGGACACCCCACGCACAGAATTCACCTGGAAAACCCCACGTGCCGTAGCTGAGGGAGTGACGCGAGTGTCGTATCTGTGTAGCTGAAGGAATGAGAAAGCGTTCGCCCCTCACTGACAGATGTCATGCAGAAGAGGTCTTCCACGCCCCAGTGCAATGTCTCTGTAGAGCAGGCAGGTCATAAAACAGCAGATGCCGCCTGCAAGAGCAAACCAATTCCCACCTATATGGACAAAAATCCTCCCTGAGAGCAGTTTTGGGGTTTGGTTTTTATAAACAGCCCATCTTAAGTGGGGGTAATGAGCTGAGCAGGACTGCAATCAGACCTGCGGTATTCTGGTGTGACATGCATCCCCGTGTGGGCCTGATCTGAAACCGCTGCTCTGGTTGTAGATAAGCTCGAGTGGAAAAGAGATGGATTTTACCCCATTACTGGGTTTTTCCCTGTTTTAGAATCACAGAATGTTCAGGTTGGAAAAGCCCTTAAGCCCACCCAGTCCAACCGTTACCCCAGCACTGCCCAGCCCCCCACTGACCCATGTCCCTGGGCACCTCGTCCACACGGCTCTGAAACCCCCCCAGGATGGGGACTGCCCCCTCCCTGGGCAGCACATTCCTGACAGCCCTTTCCAGGAAGGGATTTCCCTGAGAGCCCATCTAAACCTCCCCTGGCACAACCTGAGGCCGTTCCCTCTTGTCCCATCCCATCCCTTTTGGGAGAAGAGATGGACGGCCCCTCTGCACCCCCCTTTCAGGGATCTGTAGGGAGTGACAAGGTCTCCCTGAGCCTCCTCTTCTCCAGGCTGAACCCACAAGCTCCCTCAGCAGCTGCCCACGGGAATTGTGCTCCAGCCCCTTCCCAGCTCCGTTCCCTTCCCTGGACACGCTCCAGCACCTTAAGAAGCTCTTTGCCTAAAAACATTAGGTCTGGCCCTGCAGTCCGACACTGCTGCTCATACCCTCCGGCTCCTGCACAGAAGCCCCCAGCTGACCGGCCCAGACTCCGGACCCAGCCCAGGGTGGTGCAGGGTGTCCCTGTCCCTGCTCTGCCAGCTGGGAGCTCTTACGACTGGTGGCCTGGCTTGTTGATGGACTGGATCAGGGAATTAGCCTGGATGAGCCGTGACTTGGGTTTCTTTTTGCTGTCCTTTCTAGAGGACAGCGGCTGTGAAAACCGGGTTGTTCAGCACGGCCACTCGACCTGATCCAGAGCCCTGGACTGCTCCAGGCAGCTCTGGGTGGTTCAGTGCTTCACAGGATTTCGTGACTCCACAAGGTGTAAGATGCTTCTGGGCTGCCCGTCCTTGCAGAGATCAGCTATATGGATCAAAACGAAGGCTCAATCGCATTTAAGGGACGGCTTATTTCAAATCCAAATGCAAATTTCCTGGGCTTTATCCTCTGAGCAAAGTGAAACTGTTGTCCATATCGGAATACGTGGAATTCCCATGTCCACATGGGAACAGCAATGGAATTGCATGTGTCAGTATTTGCTAGGAAAGAAGACTGGTGTGAAAATCATCCAAACACAAGTTCCACAGGACGCTATGCGAGGGCTGAATGCGAAGGAGAAGGCACGTGTCAGCTGAGGAGCTGCGGAGCGCGCTGTCAGGGGCGCGTGCCGAGGAAAACGCCGCTGGCTAAGCCAGCGAGGCTCTGCGTCAGCTCAGTCTGCCTGCCACGGGCAGCGGCATTTCAAGGGAAATTTTGCCCGAGTTCAGATGAAATGCTGGGCTCCGAGGGAACACACCACCCTCGGAGCACCCACAATGACACAACAGAAGGAGCAAGCCCGCTGAGGCTTTCCTGCTCCCGCGCCTTCACTCAGCAGCGCGAGCTGCACAGCGCTGCCTTCGCAGTAACTCGCTGCCCCTTGCAAATCCGTACCCTGCCCGAGAGCTGCAGAACAGCGAGCGACTGGGAAGCACTCGGGAACTCTTCCACGGTGCACGGCTGTTGTTAACATCGGCTTATTCGTTACGTGTTTGCACGGCAGCCTTTACGCAGCAGTTCTGCAGCCGGAAGAAGGGCCAAGTGTTGGAAAAACGAAGATCCAGACCGGAGGATGTCTACCCGTGACCTGAGCCCAGATAACGGAGTGCCTCATCCCCAGCAGTAAAACATTAACAGGGGTTATTGGTTGTCATAGTAAGATGAGGGACTGCTCTGAACGGAACTGCATTTACGGGCGTTGAGAGACTGACATCACGGCTGCGATAATGCATAAATAGCCGGCACGCCGCGTTCCCGACCGACCGCAACGGCTCCGAGGGAAGCAGCCAACAGGCTAAGCTCCGCTGCGGGCACAGCAGAATCTGGATTTTGTGAACACCTCGGGAGCTGCTTTGCCCAGGACAGTTCCGAGAACGGCTGCGCTCGCCGTGCGGAGGAAGCATGTGTGCGGGCGGCTGTGCCAAGTGCCTGGGAGCCACGCTCATCCCCCTCGCCGTGCTCTGCACCCTCGCGAACATTCTCCTCTTCTTCCCTGGAGGGAAGGTGGTCGAAAACAATGCCCACATTACGGATGAGGTTTGGTACTTCGGAGGGATCTTGGGATCCGGTGTACTGGTGAGTATACAAGTTGAAGCTTTCCCGCCTCCCCCCGACTGCACTGCTGAATGTCCCCAGCGCCCCAAACGCCGCTTCCAACACTGCAGTCTCCTCTTGAGAAATAAGCTACAAGTCACCCAGCAGTTCTGCAATAAGTAACTTCATTTAGCAACACAGAAGCCCCCCAGAACTCTGCTATTAAGAGCCAGCGTAACTGGAATTCATCCCAATTCAAACCCTGTCTGTTGTTGGCAGATGATCTTTCCTGCCCTGGTATTTCTGGGCCTTCAGAGTAACGACTGCTGTGGATGCTGTGGGAACGAGAGCTGTGGGAAGAGGTTTGCGGTAAGTGAGACCTGCCAAAACCGGAAAAGCTAAGCTGTTTCTGGTACGACAGACGTAGCTGCTCGCGGTCCTGGCATGCCTGGCCAGGCTGTGGGGAGCGGGGGGCGCGCAGCCCCGCGGTTTGAGGCTGGGAGCAGAAACAGGCTGCCGGGCTGGCGGTGCCTTCGCTGGCGTGCCGCGGGTACAACCGCCGTCCTGCCCTGCTGCATCCCGCCGGCATGAGGCACCTAGTCGCTCTCACGATTTCAGCCCATCTCGGAAGCCCTGCACTGCTTGGCACGGCCTAACAGCTCTCTGCAGCCCCTTCCCAGTGGCAGTTTTAGAATCCCTCTGGCAGTTGGGCACGCCAGCCCAACTCACCGCAGACGCACGCAATGGGCTGTGTGTCGGTAGCTTCATGGGAAGTGGCAGCTTGGAAGAGGCCTCGGGAGGTCAACTAATCCAACCTCCTGCTCAAGGCCGGGTAGACCAGGCTCCGCTCTGAACCTGGCCTCCTTTCGCACTCCAAGTGCGGATACCTTCGGGCACCAGCAAACGCTTCAAGTGCTTCAGTTTAAAAATGAGATTAGAGGAAAAATAAATGTATTTCTCCTAGGAAAGCTGTTCTTTTGAAACAATTGTTTGGCTCAAGGAGATTGCTACACGTTTACATAAAGGAACGGGTTTTCAATGGAAAAAAAAAGAAAGACCAAGTAGGAAACGAATCAGGAGTGTGAGGTTAACACGGAGCCTTCCCTAAATCCTGTCTCCGGTGCAATCCCCACCAAGAAGGTGGACTTTCGGGGGGGGAATGGAGCCGCATTTCTCCTCCCCCCCGGCACTCTCGATTCTCTGTGCGCAGTGAGCGAGGTCAGTCTAGCTTGGAAGAGCAGATGGAACCCGGCGAGTACCATGCACGCCTCTGCCCCGGGGGGGCTGTGCTGCTGCCCCCGTGGCGTGCGCACGCTCAGCCGTGCCCGCAGAGCAGCTCCCGCTGCAGCCCTGCGCCCTCGCGGTGCCGACGGACAAGCTGGGAACACGCGGAGTACCAGAGCGCGGGGGCACGACCGCAGCAGGACTGCGACCCGAACTGCTGCGCGTTCGCAGACACACCGTTACTCGTATGCTACTACGTGCCGTAACGGTTAAGTTACAGCAAAAGGCACGGCGGCACTCAGGGCGAGGGGCTCGTGACAGGTCTGCCTGAAAACCCACAGACCTGGCAGTACGTTTCTTTTCTCCCTCCGCCCGTAGCACTTTGATCCGATGGGAGACGCTACCTCTGGCTCTGAATTCCCGGCTGCAG